ATTTTTATGCCTTACTATACTATGTCGTTTTTATGACTTTTTATGCCTTACTATACTATGTCGTTTTTATGCCTTACTATACTGTGTCGTTTTTATAACTTTTTATCCCTTACTATACTATGTCGTTTTTATGCCTTACTATACTGTGTCGTTTTTATGACTTTTACTATGTGGTTTTTATGACTTTTTATGCCTTACTATACTATGTCGTTTTTATGCCTTACTATACTGTGTCGTTTTTATAAATTTTTATGCATTACTATACTTTGTCCTTTTTATGCCTTAATATATCATGACGTCTTTAAATATTTATGCCTTGCTATACTTTAGTATGTATGACAATTTTATGACATTTTCTTCCATATTATACCATGATTTTTTTTAACGACATTTTATGCCTTCATACTGTCGTTCTTTTCATGCCTTACTATACTATGTCCTTTTTATGACTTACTCTACATATTTATGCAAATACATACTCACACACACACATACAGACAGATACTTTTGCAAACACATACATAAATACTTATTTACAGACATCCATACATAAACATACTTATACACACACCCACACGCACACACACACACACACACACACACACCTTTTGTTCAGAATCAAATACTTTCATTTCACTGTCGTGTGTTACAAAGATATGCATTTCATCCTCATATTTAATAAGATGGCAAATATTTCACAATTAACAACTGAAATTAAAAATCAAAAGTTTTAATTTGCAGTTAATCATTGCAGCTCCAAACATGATCATAAAATGAAACTAGTTATTGATCTAAACTTTCAACAATGAAACCATCTGCTATTCAGTTGAACATAAATATTCAATTTGGACAAAAGTTCATCGACCCAACGTCAGTTCAATGTTCACAGAAAAAACCCACAAACTGTCAACGAGGAGGAAAAGTCAGCTGTGATCTGCAGTACAGGTGTAGTCATGCATAGAGAGCACAAGTAAATGTAAAGTGCATTGGAATGAGTGTGTGTGTGTGTGTGTGTGTTTAACATACTGAGGTCTGTGTGGTTTGGAGGTTAGACTGAGGAGGAATGTCTCACTCGTGAGGAGCTATAGAAGCTCATGTGTTTATCACAAATATAAACAGCACCTGACAGCGAGTCAGTGAGGTGACAGTGGAGTCACAAACACTAAATATATAATGTTAAAGGCAGGTCCATGACTTTCTGTTCAAACCGGTGCAGCTGTGACTTTTGGCCTCCTTCTGTTTAATTAGAACAAACCAATTAATCATAAATGCTCAGAGTGAATACATGGTTTCTCTGTTTGAATTCATTCTTACCATTTATCCACAGCATCGGATTACAACGGAGTATTAGGGCCACGTTGAGGGAAAAAAAATTCTCAAAATTCTCAAAATTATTGTAAAATTACGACTTTGTTCTTGTAATATTATGACAAGGAAAAAGTCGTAATGTTACAAGAAAAAAGTTGTAATTTTGTGAGAAAAAAGTCGTAATATCATGAGAACAACGTTTTAATTTCAGTGGAAATATTTAAAATGAGGAACATGGAGCATCCTGTGAAGGTCTACTTTAGCAGAGGTTTCCCAAATAAGAAAATACTTCATCTTTTGGCTCATCATCATCATCATCGTCATCATCACCACCATCAGGACAGTGAAAAGATTGTGAAGAAACTGAGTCTATTCTATTGTTAGACAGACAAAAAGCAGCTGCCACTGTCCTTTCACTCGTTTGATTGGATGACGTAATATTCCTAAAAATTATGTTTTTAGGAATATCTCAAAGTTTTTAATTTTTAATTTTCATACTTTACGACTTTATTCTTGTAATTTCTGATTTGTTTCTTTTTCTCATGTGGCCGATAATCTGTCGTACTCGATTGACAGTGACCTAAAGCTTCGTCTCAATCATGCAAAGCCCTGACTTCCTTTCCTGATGACCACTTCCTCTCCTGATGCCAACTTCCTGTACAGGTGCGACAGTTCATCGGATCGCGGCGCCTTTGACTCCGGCGTGCAGGGGATGTCAAAGTCGGACGACGCCTGAGACTCCGACAGCTCCGACAGCTCTGATGGGAGGATCAGACCGTCAGTGTCCGTCTTCTGAGACGAGGTGCTGGGCCTCGCGTCTCCTTGGTCCCGCCCCCCCTGCCCTGGTTGGAGGATCACGGTGTCGGGTAAACACGAGTCCATGTTCTGGGAGGAGTGATTGGACAGAGAGGCAGACAGCGTCAGGCTAAAGTCTTCATTGTGGTCGGGGGTTTCTTCTTCGTCACTGAACAGATCGGGCGTCTGGGAATCCGTCATCCTGGAGGGGGAGGTGGTCATGTTAGAGCAGCAGGACTGTGATTGGCTGTTCTGGCTGTCAGTCAACATTTCAGCAGTGAAGAAATCCTCCCACTTTGGATTGTTAGATTTCTCTTTTCTTTCCTCCTCTTGCTCTTTATCCCTCTCTCCTTCTTTCACCTCCTCCTCCTCTGTTGGTTTTGCGTCCTCCTTTCCCTCCTGCTCCTCTTCCTCCTCCTCATCTTCCTCCTCATCATCTTCCTCTTCACCGTTGGACTCGGTGCAGTCGACGTAGTTGCGTGAAACAGACTGAGCGTCGGTGACAGGAAAAGACCCGTCCACAGACACAGGGGGCGCTGTTCTCTGAGGACTCTCAGTTTTCTCTAAAATTAACAAATGAAGAAATTTACAGTTTAGTAAATAATCGAAGTAAACAAGGACAAAAACAGACACTGAGCTAAAAAACATTGAGACTGAACCAGTAAAGTTCTGAGGAGATACTGATTTTTTGTGATAATTATCTGTGAATCCATCACTACTAATGATAAATTATTATAAAAATATTATAAAAAATGATCATCACCTTGTTTCACTTCCTGGTTCAGGCCCATCTTCTTCCTCACTGGTGCCAGGTCCAGTCCGTCAAACAGGTCGTCGTCACTCCCTGAATCTGAACACAGAAAAAAACAAAAGACATTTAAAATATAAAGCTGCAGCTGACGTATTTTCATCATCAATTATTTTCTTCAATTGAATAATGATCTTTTAAAGTGTAAGAAAAAAAATATAATTAATAATAATTATAATTTCCCATCATGACGACGTCTGCAAAACCCAAAGATCTTCAATTTACTCTGTTATAAAACAGAAAAGCAGCAAATTCTCATGTTTGAGAATCTGAGAGAAGAGTTTGAGTTTTTACTCAAAGAAAAATGCAGCAATTAATCATCAGAATAGTTGTCAATTTATTTTCTGTCGATCGATTAATCAACTAAATGTTTCAGTTGTAGTTAAATATTTAAAATAAATATGCTGAAGTAAGTGTTTGTGGTTTGTTTATTTACAGCGTTGACATCGATCTGATGAAAAGTCGAATATTGTACCTCAGAAATAATTTATAGTTCATGTTTCCAGTGTAAATTACTTCTAATCTGACATTTTATCATCACATTTATATTTTTTTACCACTTCAGTTCAGTTTAGTTTCATGTTTTTTGATGTATGAAGTCACAAGATCTGATGCTGAAGGAACAAAATACAACTAGAATAAAATCACCTGCAGGACGTTTAGAAAAGTGACTCATCAGTGAGTCATCACTGGAGGTTTGAACTCATTTCAGTCAGTTTGAAAGCAGTTACACTTCACTCTTAATCCGACCCTGATGTGTGAAGTGGCGTAAACAGTGTGTTGAACAAACGTTCATCATATTTCTGTGAAGCGTGCCCTTTATATTTCATCTACCATATGGTGACCTGTAAACAAGTGTCACGGCTACAAAGGCGGTTACAAATGCTGTTGTGGAGAACACCTGTCAGAGTTGTGTGTGTGTGTGTGTGTGTGTGTGTGTGTGTGTGTGTGTGTGTTGGTGTCACCGAATGTAGGCCGCTCCACCCTGCTGCGTTTGAGGACTCCCAGAGGTTTGTAAACGAACCTTGCTTGATCCGACTGGTTCCTGCACATCAGCTTCAACCTGATCAAACACACACACACACACACACACACACACACACACACACACACACACACACACACACACACACACACACACACACACACACACACACACACACACACACACACACTTTGACAGCAGCAGTGTTAAAGCTCCTCCAGTCTAAAGGTCTGTGTCCATGTGTAGTGTGATTATAGATCAGCTCTAGCTTCTATATTAATACTGTGAAAGTATCAAAGCCTCAGTCCACAGAGAAATGCACACAGCCTGTATTCAGAAACTGAGCCTTGAAAGGCTTAGATCCTCTCCTCTGATTGGCTCACCGACCTGTTGTTACTAGAGCTCCAGAGAGAAGCCTGAGAGAGGAGATGTAAAACTACACTGAGATGGTTTTTGGTTCTTAAAACCACAAATATATCTTCTCATGGACCAACACTTCAAATAAAACACAGAAGAAGAAAAATTGGAGCTTTAAGCGTCACCAGCAAAAATGAATTTATAAAGCATGTGGTAGGATTAAGTGACTCCGGTTACTGAAACATATTTTGACACTAAATTAACATCACAGACAAACTGAAGTTAAACTTCACTCACATCTGTGTGACCTCAGTCAGAGTCCGTCCCAAAGGGATGACACTGGGATAGATGTTGACTGGTTGGAGATACGACAGGAAGTCTCTGAGCTGAAAGTTAAGACAAAGACGAGCATCGTGACAAAACAAATAAATCTGCTTGTTATGATCATTTCCAACACGTCATTCAAAGCAGTATAACCCGGCTCTAAGTCTGACTCAAAGACACTGAGACACAGTCACTCAGCTGCTGCGGGTGAATTCACCTCCAGGCATCGATGTATTAAAACACGACAATGATAAATAACTTGAAGTCAGATTGTGACGCAGCGAGTAAATAAACATCAAACATACAAACATAAATAAATGAAGCAGGTAAAATCTGTCCTGTATTTGAAATGACTCCATGAAAGGATGAAGACATTTATCACATACAGACACAAAACTTAAGTAAACCTTGTGCTGCGTTTCATACAGGGCTGAATGATTTTGATACTTTTGCATTTCACTTGAGAAAAAATCTGAAAATGATGATGTGGTTTTTGTTGATCTTGTTGCTTTACATCTGAAGAATATAATTTATAGACAGAGGCGTCTCTGTAGCGCCACAATACTTTATTTATAATATGTTGTGACACATTTTACCTTCATCAAAAAACTGCAGCTCCTGTGACTTAGATGTTGCACTCAGCCACATTGAGATTTCGATTATATTTCAATTACTTTGTCAAATCTGTGACAGTTTCTATGTATTTTATTCTGTTTGCTCGTTGTGTTTTCATGACAGTCAGGTCGTCTATGGGTCAGTCACTGTCACATCAGTGATTCATAGGAAAATAAATGGCCTTTCAGTGGCTTCCTCTTCCTCTTAGTGCCATTAAAGAACACTCCTGATGGTAAGAAAACAGCGGTCCTTTGTGGAAGTTTTAATAAAAACCTCATTAAACTCTTGTCCATCCACAGCCACAATATTCTGGTTAAATACATCAGAATAAAAAGAGAAAGTACCTCAGAGTAGGAGGAGTGGAAGCTGAAACAGGCTCTGAAAGAACTGGCTCCTGTCCTGATAAAACATGAACACATTCACGGCTCAGTGCGACTGATAATGATGTATAATAATGTCACGTGTCGTTAATGTGAACATGTCAGGGGTGAATCTGCTCTCACTTTATTATGACGTTGGTTTTCTTGGTTCTCTCTCCGAACCACATGGTGGACGGTTTGATGCTGATGATACGGAGAGGAGTCCCGTCAGCGGCCGAGCAGCCGCACGGCAGCCGGTTGCCTTGGAAATACTCCTCATCCTACACACACACACAAACACACACACACACACGAAAATCATTGATCAGATATTGGTATCCTTTGTCATGAATGAGCTTCGTGAAGGAACAGCTGACTGAAGTGGGACCTTCGGGTGTCGACAGGCGTGAATCTGAGTCCTGCGGTCGGTCGTCACGTAGCTCAGGATCTCCGGCATCTTCTTGAACATCGCCAGATTCTTGACATGGATCTGTGGGAAAAGTTACACGACAGAACGTATTAGACTTCAGTTGTGCTTTTACACTGTGTGGATTTATAACATACATCTGTACATAAACGTGTCTATTGCCCCACTGGGTCAATGTCTGTTCAGATAAGAGTTATGATGATATATTACATTGGTTCATCGGTACATTTATCGGTTCAAATACCATCCAGATCAATGAGTTCAATGATCAAAGAGCAGATTCATTCTCCTGTCATGTTCATCCTGCTGGACGGGGACTCGTACGTCACCTGTGTGTTGAACTCCTCCCCCAGGTTGGTGAACAGGTATTCATATCCATACGCAGCTTTACAGTTGAGCCACACGACGTGATACGAACTCTGACTGATCCAGTTTCCAATCAGCTCCGAGATGCCGTTCAGACACACCTCCTACACACACACACACACACACGAAAAATTACATCTTTGACAGTCATCAATGTTAGAACAGTGTGTTCAAGAACATATATTGCACATTGAAAATGGTTCCAACAACAAATACATGTTAAAATCACAGAAAAGTGACTGAACACACCTCCATCACCTACAGTGTTTTCCCTCTTGATTTTCTCATTAGATGTTAAACAAGATATAAAGGACGTAGTTATGATCAACGACTCTCATGAAAGAGGATTTACTGCACGACTGTTGCATTAGTTTTAGTTTAGTGTACCTAATAAACTGCAACTGAGTGTATATGCTGCCATCACTGGAAATGATAAGTTAACTGTAAAAATTCCCTGTAAAGACTCTTGATATTCCAGGAATCCCACAGAAAATAAATCTTATTTTTAAACTTTGGATAAAAGCGTCTGCCAAATGACCAAATGTAAATGTAAAAAAACTAAACGTACTCTAGTGGGTATTTGATAGAAGCGTGGGTCATAGAAAGTGGAGTCCAGATAGACACTGTGAATATCTTTAACCCTGTGAAACATGAAGCAACAGAGTGAAGTATGAGCTGTGAAGAAGCAAAGACAGAGATTTAGTAACACAACAGGTAAAGAGGAACTAAAGACAGGTTTAAACAATCTCCAACTTTTCACTTTTACATATGTTACTAAACTAATGAACTGAGTGAATAAGCCAAAGGTTATGGATCAAAGATTTGTGGCTGCGTTTTAGTTGTTAAATTTACATTAAAAATAGAAACTCCTCTGACCGACTGATTTCTGGTCGGGTGTTATTTTGAAAATTGGCCAGATGCTCTGTGTCGTGGAGCATCCGGCTCAATCTGGCATAAAAATCTTTTTTGTTTCAAATTGAAAAAATAGCTTAAAAATATAAATAAAATACCTTGTAAAATGGTGATTAAGACGTTGTAATACTCTTTAAGACCGAACAGACACACATACGTTTACTTAAATCCAACAATCTGATTTTTTATAATCGTCCTACACGTCCACTGTGTGTCCGTCTACTCCAGGACCTCTGCTGCTGTTGAGACGGAGAACAGAGAGGACGTTCATCAGCCACCGACCTGCTGCCGGAGTGGAGATGTTCTATTCTGGACGCGTCTCCAGCAGCCAACCTGAAGTCTCCCGTGTACAACACGTTCCCCTGAGAACCTTCAAACAGGAACCTGCACACACAAACACACACGTCGCTTTTCAAATTTCTAAATTAGACATTCAAACTTTAACGACCTGTGACGGTGACGGAAGGTGCATTACGTTATTTGGGTTGTGTCTGAATGAATTCATTTGAAATCCTTTAAATATGACTTTTTGAAAAAGTGACAGCTCTAACGTGAAGAAACTTGGAGAAGCGACTTGCTGTAAGTAATTTTTAAATCTCACTATTCAGAAAACAAAACCAGGAAATGGAAGCATTATAACCTGCAATATTACTTTTCTGACGAAGAAAAAAAAAATCAACCCCAGTCCTTTTCCCAACCATTGTTTGGATCAAGCTAAAAGTGAAGTCATGTTCCACAATAATAGATTAATGGTATCTTTTTTCTTTTTTCTTTGCTTTATTTTTATATATTAATAATTTTAGCTTATAAACATAATAGTTTTGAATCAGGACTGTCTGAGTCCTAAATGAGAACCGGATCAGACTCTTGTTAAAGGACACTTGGCAAACCAGAGTGTTTAATGCTTTAACTCACATAACAGAGCCGGGACAGTGACCTGCAGGAAGCAACGTCACCACAATGTCTTCTTTCTGTCACAGAAAAACAAAAGACAAGATGGTTTGAAAAAAAAAAAACCTGACGACCCCTAACTTTTATTAGACCAAAGAAAATAAGGAAATAATCAGTTCTGACCTCTCCTGATGTTTCGTCCACCAGAGAGATCTGAGTTGGGCTCTCCAGCTCCAACGGAACCTGAACAGATTATTAATCAGGACAGTTAATGACAGAAACCCATTGTAGAAGAGACATAAAGTCCAATTTCACTACAGCATCTGACGCCTCAAAATACCAGAAACTGTACGACAGGATGAGTTTTGTTTACAGGACTCATCAGCTGTGTGGTTTGACAGTAATAGAGGGAACTTACCATGTATTCCTCCCAGAAAGCGTACTTTGGATTACTTAGCAGAAGCTCTTTGGTCACGAAGGAGCAGTACAGCCTGACTGTCCGACTGCAACCAAAAGAGAAGACAGGACACATGTTCCATTTTCTGTTGTAGCTTGTTGTCATTATTGTTAAATCACTGCAGCTGTAGGACATGACAGCTGTTAACTTCTCTGGTTCACATCTGAGCTTACGTCAAGGATTTGAGACACAGTCAGTATGAACTTATTGACTGTACTTCACTGGACACTGAAGGCAAGTTTTTGTATCTTTTTTTCCTCAATAAAAAGTGAGCAAACTCCCAATGATAAAGGCCACAAGATGTGACTTTGACACATGCTTAGATGATCGCATTCATGAGTATAAAAATCAACATTTTGACTTACGAAATGCAAATTATGAGCTAAAATGTCAAAATATAGACAACAGAATTTGATTTTACCTCATAATGCTGACTTTTATGCTCTTAATTTTGACTTTGTATCATAATTTTGTCTCTATGTCAAAATTTGTAATTTTATTTCATAATTTTGACTTTTTGCCAAAATTTTGTCTGAGTCTATGTCAAAATTTGACTTTTTATACAATCATTTATACTTTTTAAAATTACAATATTCTTAGTAAGTCAAATGCTGACTTTTTAACAAGATGTTGACTTTTTAGTCACATAACTTTGACATTTTATATCCAAAATTATCATTTACCAAGTCCAGTTTTTGACATACCATGAGCACTTCTTTAATCACAAACAACTTTCCTTCTTTATTTTCCTTTACTGGCAGAAATGGGCTTCCACAACTTTCAGCATCATCTGGCAGGCTACGGTTCATTTTTAATTTTCAAGGGGGTCAGTTAAAACAGAGACACAAGCTGTGTTCACCTGAACTGCAGCTTTCTCTTCAGCAGAGGTCCTTTCAGTCCCTTCATGTGATCTGTGGACAGTGACAACACTGAAGTAAGACTTATATACACAGCGAGGACACATTAAAACGTAGATATGATCGTTTTTAACTAGCAACCATCGCTCCTGCTGATGATGCTAGCTAGCTGCCTGGCTCACCTTTGTGGCAGTGGGAGAGGAAGTATGCCCGGGCATGTAGGTTCTCCCTGTCGAACCGGTCCAAAGAAACTGTAGGATATTCCTTCATTCGACCTGCAAATGAACTCATCCTTGACCCGAACTTTTTGGTGATGTCTTAATCGTGAGATGTTTCTGACGAGGGATGTGTTGTTTGCTACCATCACTGCCGGTGTTTGTTTTGTCCCGCCCACCGAATTGAGCTTCTTCTTCGTCGTTTTTCTTCACTGCAGTTTGGGTTCTTTTGGCGGGCGTTGCCGCCATCTTTTGTCCATACATTCTCTAGTATTCTTACCTATATCTAATCCCCTTTCTTTAAATATTTCACATTTAGCGTGTATAAAAACAAATCAGAGTTTTAAATGCTTTTCAATTTTCAAGCATTAACACAACAATACCCTCACTACTGCCTCGAAATATCCAATTTTGATGGTCAGCTCGTCCTCCAACGTAGAAGAAGAGAGTTCACAGTAACTAGGCAACCAAAGAAGCTATAGGGTATAACTGCTGACAATCACCGCTAGCCAGCTGCCGTGTGGAGTGTCTTTTGAAGCAACTAAATAAACAAAAAACCGTGTGTAAGTAAACTCTCTGATGCTGCTATTTTCAGAAATTAAAGGTTAAATTGGTTTAATGTGATTAAATGTGACTGCGAGTTCTTCTAAACTGACGTGAAGACAAAGCAGAGGGTAGTTTTCGTCAGTGAAGCACCACACAGACGAAACCCCATTCAATAATGTGGCATTTTAAAGTATCACTGCATACAGATAAGCATAGAACAATATCCTATGTTAATTTGCAGCGTTTTACATTTTTGTACTGTTTCATATTTCAGCTCGGCATACATTTAACACATCAAACAGCGCTTATTCTTTTGGTAAAATATCACTTTTTATAACTGTAAACCCTTTTCCTCTCTGAAGCACGATACACACGAAACTCGATTCAGTAATGTCACATTTTGAAGTATTACTGCATACAGATAAATATAGAAACATACAAGATTTGTTTTTTTCCGCGTTTTACAATGTTTTAGTATCCATATTTCAGCTCGTGTTACATTTAACACATCAAACAACGTTTAGTTTTGTAAAATGTCACTTTTTATAACTGAAAACCTGTGACACACACTCAGTTGTACTGGAAATTTAGTTTTTAATTAAGCTCTTCAATTAACCATTTATTCTATTTGCCAAAACATGTTCATCATGTTCAACATTTTATGCATTGTTCCAGTATATGTCTTTGCTGATTTTTAAGAAAAGCAAAAATGGAGCAGAATATTTACCCTACCAGGTTAAATATTAAAGTAACAGATGAGCCTGTTACTGTGAGCCTGAAACCCTAATTAAAGCATATTCTTGTCATGCCTTTTCAGTTACAAGAGACCACTCTACTGACATTAGGACAAAGTATATTTGTGACATCTTGACCGTCATCAACGCCATGTCCTGTGCTACTGATAACAACTCCAAGCCAAAGTCCATGAGCAGAGCCAGAGAATGGACTGCAGAGGTGGAAAACCTGTTCAGATTCCAACAGGCAGGCTACAGAGATGAACTGGAGTACATACAAGTCAAACAAGGGGCTTTGGTAAATATTGTTCTCTGAATTATTTGACTTGTGTCACGCATGCTAATGACAGGCTGGTATTGGTGCATGTTCATACACAACACCAGAAGAAATTATGTTATTTTGTCAGAATATTGTGAGACACAAGACACAGATTTACACCAGAAAATAGATAATTTTGGTATTTAATTTACTTTGTAAAGTTTTGTGCAGGATATACATAAATAAACAATTGGAGTGACTTCCCTCTGTGCATTTGATAAGTGGAGTTAAATGATTAGTTGATCAATAAAGTTACATTTTCTTACATTTTACTTTAAGTCCCCTTATTTAGCATTTATAAGCAGCATATTAACATTTAATGAAGTCTTTATAACACACTCTAATGTAATGGTAGACAGATATAAGCACTATAATTCCCCCATGAAGACATATTTTAACTGTGTTTTAATATTTATTCATTCATTAGCAGCCTCCAGTTAAAGTTATAGCTGTTAACAAATACATTAATAAACTCTTATATGCTTATAACTACATTTTAGTGTGCTCCAAACCATTCATTACATGTTCATATATCACTTAAAGCTTCTAAATAAATGGGACTTAAAGTTAAGTGTCAATTAATTTTGAGCCATTTTGGCAACTGATCATTTAAGTACTTTTTTATGCAAAAATGTCGAATTATCACTTTTTAAAAGTTTTTACTGATATTCTTCAACCTCTATGATAGTAAACTGAATAACTTTCAGTTTTGGACTGTTTGTAAGACAAGCCACTTAAAGATATCACTTTGGGCCGTGGGATATTTTTACTTACATCTTATAGGTCAAACTATCAAGATTAATCTATAAATATTAAAAGGGGAAAGAGCTGAATGTGCGTGGAGGATCTGAGTTTATTACATGTGATTATACACTCTGGATTTTAACTCTAATATTATTTCTCTCATTGAAGACAAGATTAAGAGCTGTAACAAAATGTGAACGTACCATAATTGATGATTTATTGATGTATTTCTGTCTCAGATCGACAAATGGCCAGACACTGGCTACGTGAAGAAGCTCCAACGTCGAGACAACACATTTTATTACTACAGCAAGAGAAGAGAGTGTCTGGACCGTGACCTCCATAAAGTCAAAGTCTATGGATATTAAAGTGTTCTGGACTCTCTCATCCACTGAGGATGGAGCTGCATCATCCCATTTATTACTGTGGGCACAGATTATTCTCCCTTTGACCTTTTTGTTTTTAATAAATGAATTTTTAAATTGCTTATGAGAATTACTTTGTAGAGTGTGCTTTTTTTCTGGTTTTAAATTCCCTTGAATTGTTCTATTTCCTTTAAGATTACTCTGTATTGGTTATTATACACTTAACAGTTTTAATTGTTTCATCTGTTTCTCATCTCTTTGAAATCTATTGATTTATTGTTTTAAGATTTATTATTTGTCAAGCACTTTGTAATGTAGTTTTTGAAAAGTGCTCTGTAAATAAAGATTATTATTATGTTTATTATTGTATAATTATCTGAAAAGTGAACATCATTATTTCTGTATTTTTAATTATATATGCTCACTGTACATGTTTGTCTGAACCTGACTTGAATTTGTAAAAGTTCATGTTCAAGTTCTGATGTTATTGTCGTTCACGCAGAGCACATCTGGTATGAATTTTCGCAATAGTAACACGTACAGCATTGTGTGACTATTTCTATGTTAGCTTTAATCAACAACATAAATACTAGAAATATTTAAATGTTGTCCGACAACACTGACAATGAAGGATCAAAAAACATGCTGATGTTAATTGGTAAATACTTTCACCTGTGGGTGTGGTGACGGTGCTATGAGATGATCCATCACTTAATCACAGTTTAATATTTATAATTCTGTTCTTAAAAGTGTTGCTACCATCACCTGTCACAACAGCAGAAATGAAGTTGCAGGTAAGAAACTGAACTCATCAGCAGTTAGTAGCTGTCATTTCATCAGAGAGAAGATGAGACTGGAGAGGTTTTCTACTATCTACATCATCATCACAAGCACATTAGAGAACTAAGGATGTCCATGCAGTCTCCCTTCTCCACAACCAGATGAATGAGAACAAATGGGCTGCTCTGTACATGAGGTCCTCCTCTGTTGGCACAGATCACTCAGTTTTCACAGTGTTGGAAACCTTTCAAATGAAAATAAAACAAACACTTGAGTTAAGATGCGTGTGGTCACAGTTAATCACAAATATCGATCAGTGTCAGGATAGGTGCATGAATGTCTGCTTCAGTTGAGGACTGGTTTGAGTATTAAATGAACAATCTTCTATATGACAAATATTTGTCTACACATTCTGTAAACGTCACGTTATCTTAAACTTGAACTATCACAAAGTCTTGATGGACAATGTATTAACCAAACATTAACGCTGCGCATTACACTAACGCAGATCACTTAAACTGGGTCACATGTGGAGAAACACAAACCAAACGTCGTTAGATTAACTCGATTAAATTCAACTTTTTAATTGGGCTTTGACTGAACACCTCCACGGGCTAACCCAGGTTGACACAGGTTATCAGCCCAGCGGGGCCAGGTACCGTTAGCATAGCAATCGCTAAGTTATCAGCTAACGCTAGCACTAGCTGGCTAGCTTGGTTAGCAAGGTGCATCTTAACCTGAACTGTGATATTAACAGGGATGCTAATTTTGGCTAGCAAAGAAACAGGCTTAAAACAAAATGTACTTACAGGAAAAAAAAGTGAACCGCCGACTCCTCTGAGTGTCTTTGAGAACAACTGAACACAGAACAAGACATTTACAGGTAAACAACATGTAGGAGCTAACTTTGATCAACTGAATGAGTCACCTAAGAGAAGTTAGGTGAATTTATATCCTGCAAAAATATCAGGTAAGAAAACATTTACTCTATTGTTTTTGTGACGTTATTTGTGTTCATGTCGTTTATTTCGGATTAAAAATAGACGAATAAACAAATGTCATTATGTATGTATGTTTATACTGCTACATTAACGTGTGTTAAAGTGAAAAGCTAACCGCGATTAGCGCGCTAGCCATAACAGCATTTTTTTCAATGTAGAAGAAGCTAATTTTACTGTGTTTTGCTAGTATGTGTTAATGTTGTCAGCTGGTTTAAAGCTTAAACAAACTGATGAGAAGTGAATGAGTAAAGTGACTGAGAAAACTGTCTTGTACACACTTCTATATTTAGACAGAGAGGGCTCGGAAACACATTGAGGAGCAGAAGTTTAAACTCTATCGATTACAGAAACTCCAGAGACTGGCGTTGAGACACTGACGTCAGCACGTAAACGGTCACTCACTGCTGGTAATGAAAGGTAATGTCATTCCAGTCAGGCTCTTTGCAGCCTGTGCATACAGCTGATAATAAATTAATGTACACTCAGTTGACAATTTATTAGGAACATCTTGCTAAAACTGATAAAGTCTAATACAACAGCCCTAAAAAAATATATACCTAT